GCCAGTTTCGGGATTTTAGTTACGAATGTGATATCGGTCTTTAGATTACTTTGAATCCGCATTTTTCTACACTTTTGATATCAAACTTCATGATTGTGGTTCAACCGTCTGTCCAGACCAAATAAGTTCGCGGCCCAATACAAATCACTGAATAGGTTGGAGGCTCGCAGTAATAAATAAATACATCTATAATTTTGCCATAGGAAAATAAAAATACGGTGATAAAGTTAAATTTTTATTAATTTTTTATTAATTAATTTTTTACAATTCTATCAGTATTACCATTATTTATATTAGTTGTTGTCATACGAATATTTTATTTTTAATATAATGACTTACGCCACTGAATACGAGTTTTTTGAACCAGTTGTATATAATAAAGTCTTTGTCAGTTAAGTAAATTAACGTTATTATTAGAATATTAAGAATTATTGGATTTAATAATTCTAATAAATTATTGAATATATTTTAATTAATTTATTTGGAATAACATAAAAATAAAATTATATTGTGTGACTAAATTATAACAATGAAAAACTTATCTGATTGTGTAATAATAATAGATAATAAATAATAGCCGCGGGCCGCATGAGGCCTGTGGGCCGTGCTTTGGACAACCCTGATCTAGAGTATAGACAACAGTCAAGAACATATTTAAGAGATTTAGAAAAATAAGAACAGTAAATATTTAACTTATTATTGAAGTCTATAACCAAAACCTTAAAGTTTCGTTAACACAACTCAAGACAAGCTAAATCTCAAAAGTAGATAAAATTAATATTTAAATGTAGATAAAACGAAAGAGGCGTGCAAGTAAGTATCTTGTAATGTGAGAAAGAAAAAACCAAACAAATAATTTGTTTGCAATTTTATGCAAAACACATATGCAAAAAGTCTCAACATCAAGTGCAGGTAAAGCACAAAATGCAATTCACGCCTTCTTAACTCGTTAACTTGAGCAACAAATAAGGCAGTTAATATGAGGCGGAAATGACAAGGGACCACGGAAAAAGAATAAAATAAACAGCCAAAGCTAATTAGCAGTGTCTGCGAAACAATAGTGCGGTTTGACACTGGGATTGATTTCATTCTTCCAGCTTTAGAAAATAGTTAACCCGAGTGATCGCCCAAAAGCGGTACAGGTACTTGACTTATGGATAAAGTGTTAAAACTAAAACAAGCACAAGATAAATTACACAAGTAAATGACTAAAGCACTTACAAACGTTCCATCGGAGTTGGGCGCGCTTGTGTCCACATGCGTAGATGAACTTCCAAAGTCGTCTGCGAGTTGAAATTGTCAAAGGGGCGGGGTTGTGAAAGAAGAAACGCTGTAACGATGTGAAAAGCCTAAAGGCGTTAAATGTAAAAAATAGAAAAACGCATTACAAACCTTAAAGTGTCAAGTTGGAACAGAAGACATGCTCACAGCCACTCGTGGAAGAAAAAAGAACTCAAAATATAAGACGAACTGTGATTAGCGCCTTTTTAGACAACGGCTGACTGGGTTTTAAGTGATTGTTATAATGATTGCCATTGCTGTAACAAGATTTGTATTTATGAAATAACTTATTGCTTTAAAGATATTAACAAAGTTCTAAGCGTCGGATAATCATTCTAATAGCTCAGTAACTTTTTTGAAATACTTGGTAATACCAACTTAAGAACCTTTTTAAACCTACGCATTTTTTTTCCTTCACACAATTATGAAAAACTTGAATAATTAAGTTTGTCAAAATCTTTGTAACGCAAGATAGTAACTATTGATTAAGTTATTATATATTTGTGTTTTATTTATTGTTTTCTGATACTTTTAATATATAACGTACATGAGGTAAGAATTTGAAATACCATAATTATTTCAGATAACGTGCAAATAATAATAAGAATATACATAA